TGTACTTTTCATTCTTTCTGTCTGTCTTTCTGTTCCGTTCTTTCTTTCTTTCAGTTTGTCGTTCTTTCATTTTTTCTGTCTTTTTTCTTTTTTTCTATCGTTTTTCTTTATTTTTTTCCCTTTCTTTCTTTCTTTTCTTCTTTATGTCTTCCTTTCTTCTTCTTTTAAGGCGTAGTTAGGGAAGAGAGTGGGAGTGGGAAGCGGGTGCATGTTGAAACATGCATAAGTGTGCAAAATTTGGAACTATTCTGCTTGGGTCAGATTTTGATGGCATCTGTGCATTTGATTATTTCGCTGTTTGGTTCTATTTTAGTGATGGAGGAGAAAGGCTGATGTAAAAACAAAAAGATTGACAGGTAAGAGATGAGGTGTTAATGAAAAAATACGTGTGCCAAAACTTAAGATACATGACAATATGTATCTACACTGACAACAACGACCAAAAACATTCCCAAAAAATTAAATATACATAAATAAAAATCGCAATGATTAAGTCTCAGGTTAACACAAAATCGAATTGAAAAGTATAAATTTACGGAACAACAGTAAGTTTTTAAAACATGGAAAGCGACGGAACACAAAGTAAAAAGGAACATATCTGCACATTCAGGAAGACATCGCTGTGGGTGCTGGATATAAAAAAATACGGACGACGTGATAAAAACAACGAAATTTGAGCCAAAGGAGAAAACAAGGCTCAAGACACATAAGAACTGAGGTTGTACTCGTGAGCACGAGCGATTTATGTGACAAAGGTATGAACGTTCCGCGCCAGTGCATGCCGACAATATGAAAAACAGAGGGCAGACAGGGAAAGAGAGAGAGAGAGAGAGAGAGAGAGAAAGAGAGAAAGAGAGGGGGAAGGGATGAGTGAGAGGGCAAAAGAGAGAGAGAGAGAATGGGAGGGGGGTGAGAGAGAAAGCAGGAGAGATTTAGAGAGCGAGTGGGAGAGAGAGCGTGAGAAAGAGAGAGAGCTACAGGGAGAGGAAGAGAGAGAGAGAGAGAGAGAGAGCGCCGCGCGAAAGGGAGATGGGGGAGGGGAGGGAGAGGACGTACCAAAAGAGCTTTGAAGGTAAAGAGTAGAAAATAACGAAAGAGATGAAAAGGACGTTTGGAAAAAGAGTTAACGTGACAGTGAAAGGGCAAAAAAGAGATTTTTAAAAGGCATAAAAAGATACAGACACTGAATTTGAGAAAGGGGGAAAAGAGTATGATAGATAGAAACAGATGAAGATAGACATAGAGAGAGGGTGGGGGAGATGGAGACAGACAGAGAGAGAGAAAGAGAGAGAGAGAAAGAGAGAGAGAGAAAGAGAGAGAGAGAGAGAGAGAGAGGGAGAGAAAGAAAGAGAGAAAAAGAGAGAGAGAGGTGGTGTGGGGAGGAAATAGATAGAAAGACAGAGGGGGAAGAAAGGGATAATGGAAATGAGTAAAAGAACGAGAAAGAGAAAGGTACAAATATTTTGGCGACATACCTAGTTTCGGGAAAGCTTGAGTGGTGCCAAGACCTGCCGAAAACGAGAGGGGGGCTCATTTGTACAACATGTCTTCAAGATATGACACACACATACACACAGACACAAAGAGACAGGGTCTAGACACAATATGAAGTTTTGTGAATGATATAACCGTAATCATTACATTATTATGATACCTGTTTTATGCTAAGACCGCTAGCGTGAGGTGCAATATTTTTTTCTCAATATTAGCTTATCTTTTTGTGAGCTTGGTGTTTTTCCATTGTCCGCATGTGCGCTATTATACTCGTTAGGTTTTGTTTTTCAATCTAGTTCTTTTCTCTTCTGCCACAAAGTTGTTGCTTTGTTGTTGTTTTTCTTTTTACGTCTTTTCTACCGTATAGTTGTTTGTTTTGTTGGGGTATTTTTTCTCGATCCCATTTTTCCTACTTTGCTCACTTCGATATTCCTGGGACTATCATGACTCTATTTTTGTTCAAGTCTTTCTCTGTCTTCCAGTATTTTTTTATTCTCCCTCTGTGTCTCCCACATCTGTATCTCTTACCTCTTTTCCCCTGTCTCTTTTTTCTCATTTTCTACTTAATCGTTTCAATCTCATTTTTAATCCTTTTCACCCAACATCTCTAAAGGTATTTTTATCGTCGGCACAACCTATCACTCTCCCTCCATCTCCCCC